GCAATATTCCTTCTTTTCCCATCTCACTACCATATTTTCTCAAAAATAAACCAATTGAGGAGCCCCTTGCCTCTCTATACCACCATGGCCTTACTTTTGATTTCAATGATGAGCTTTCACCTTCCAAAATGCAACTAAATGAGTTTGTTCCCTCTTTTTCTTTTTCTTATTTTAATTTTTCTTTTGATTTTTCTTTTGATTCTTTTTATTTTTCTTTTCCCCCTCCCCTCAAGCATAGAGTTTCTTTCAACTTTGTGCTTGCTTGTCATATGAGCATCACTTATGCTCTTTTTCATGAAATATTTTCCGATGCATATGACAAGCTTTTGCGTGCTTTGTCCGGTTATTTACTAATAAGGTCAATCTTGGACCTTAAACAAGACTTTCTCGGGAAGTAACCCGTGTTTATATTGCTTTTAATTTTCTTTTATATCTTTTAATTTTGTTTTCCTCTTGTTTATCTTTGTATATAGGTACTTGATGTCTATACTTTTGCGCATGACCTTTGACCGAGAACCATAAGAAGTAGAAAACCAAGGAATATTTGTAAATGGAAGTTGAAGCATCAAAGAAGAGCAATTTAATGGAAATGAGGAAAATGACTTAATTTGCGGGTTTCTACACCCACCTAACATTTTGGTTCACTCTTTCCATCTCCTCTCTTTTGTTGCTTTACCCTTTTATTTTCATATGGTTTGAAAGATAAATGTTTGTGGTTTTGTTGTTTCCTTCTTCCCTTTCTTGGTCTCTTGATTGCTTGATTTACCCCCCATACATACCAAGGTTTATTTTTGACTTTGGTTATTCTATATTTGGATGGCCATGAGTGCCTTATTGACTTGACTTTTGGTATGCATGGCTTTGTCGTTGATCATGCTCTCATCTTGCGCAACTGTATAAACATTCTCAAGTTGTTCTTGTCTTGTGAATATTTGCTTGTATGGAGTCTTTTCCTTTAAAAACAAGGCAAGTTTTCGTATGTGTTTTATTCATTCTTGTTTTGGACTTAATGTTTTGAGCTTGTGTCCTTGAAGGCTTTCCTTCCTAATTGGTAATGGTATGCACGGTTTGAGAGTGTTTTGGGTTGAGTTAAACATATTTTAATGCTAAGGTAGCGGTTTTAAGAACTTTGGGATACTTGTAGCCTTAATCCATGGTTGTGGTAAGACGGTGTCGCTCTCCATAGTGGATATGAACCCCTTAGGTCGGTAATTGCTATACAAATCCCGTGTGAGGTTTATTTGTTCTAGCCTTCATCAACTTTGTTGAGTGGCATATTTGGATCCTTGGTTATGCATTTTTCAATCCAGAGTTTGACTTCTATCTACCCGAGATCGTGACCGAACCCTTTAAGGGAGGAAATAGGAATTTTTCATTTTCTTATCCTTCTTTTTGTTTTGTTACAAAATTGGTTTTCTTTTAAATTTGCCCCTCTTTCTAACCCTTTGAGCCTATTTCCCTTTCTTGATTTTGAGCCACATTACAAACCGAATGACCTTTTGTTCCCCTAAACCTTTTGTTTATGTGAAGCATGTTGGTTTGAGAATTGTTTTGTGTTGATTTTGAACGCAAATGAGAAAGTTGTAGTTCTTTGGTCAAGCAAGTGAGTAAACTGTGTTTCTATTCAGTGAAATAAGAGAAAATGCTTATGAAAAGCCGTCCTTACTCAAATAAGGTAAGGACCAAAAAAAAAAAAAAAAAAAAAAAAAAAAAAAAAAAAAACTTCATATCCCTCGTGTTTGAGCATTGAGGACAATGCTCCGTTCAAGTGTGGGGGAGTCCTGTTTCTTAGTCTTGTTAGTGTGTGTTTATTGAATAAGTGTGGGGGAATACCACCAAATTTTTAAATTTTTTAAAATTTTTCCCACCTTACACCCCAAGCATACCCTTACAACCAATAAAAGACCTTTAGACCCTATAGAGTTTAGTCTTTATCGATGGAGGAAGATAGTTGTCAAGCTTATAGAGAGAGAGTGCATAGCCAAGACGTCGGGATAACCTTCTCATCGTTTTCATTTCTTTATCTTTTTCCGATTCCTTCGAGGAACCATGAGAAGCCCACCTAATGGTTGACTTGAAGCTAGTGGAGAGAACGCGGCTAGCTAGTTTGGGATGAAAGGTGAATTGTACGGCTCTTAGTTCTCTATGCTTAGCTTAGTCTATGTTTCTTTCAACCCTAAACATCTTGGAACGTGCATACCCTTATTTGTTTAGAAAGTTGTGCATTCATTAGTGCTTGTTTCGTTCCAAAAAGTCCACCAAGAACGTTTTGTTTTTGTGTTTATTTTATTTGTCTATGCATTGCCTTGTTTGTGTTTCTTTATGTGTAGAGTTATGGGTTAAACTCTTTGGAAACCCTTACGAGAGCACACTCGTCCTCATAGGCGACTTTGAGGTTTAAATGGCTTGTTGTTTACGCTAAAAACAACCGTGATTCCTACGAAAGTGAGTTAGTGTATATTCTTTTTCACCCCTCTCCTTTTAGTGTTATTAGATCCTTTTTCTTTCTTTTTGTTTCTGCTTTTGTTCTTGCTTGAGGACAAGCAAGAGGCAAGTGTGGGGGAATTTGATAAGTGGCATTTATGCCACTATTTAGATCCTCTAATTGCGGTATTTTTCTACGTTTGTCCCTTGTTTGTACCCCTTTTGCTCCGTTTCTCCCTTTATTATGTTTTTGTGCTTTTCTTCGTGTTTTGTAGGCTTTTGGAGTTGATTTTAATAGAATGAAGAGCTTGGAGAATTGGAGTTCATTTGAAGAGCTACAAAGGAAGTTAAGGAGCAAGCAAGCAAGGCCATACGGACAGCGCGGGTCGTGCTTTCAGAATGGCGCGGGCGCGCCAAACCAAGCGCGGGCGTGCCTAACATTGGGGTTGAAAATATTGAAGGAGGCAGAATGTAGGCGCGATTTGGGCGCGGCTTAGGCGCGGGCGCGCCTAAGATAGGCGCGGGCGCTCCTAAGATAGGCGCGGGCGCTCAAGGGCCTGAACTCCAAAACTAACCTTTGTTCACTCTTTTAGCCATAACTTTTGATCTACAAATTGGATTGAGGTGATTCAAGTTGCATTGGAAACTAGACTTAAAGATCTTTCCAACGGTAGGTTGCACGCCCACAGAAGACTCCTAGAACAGAAGTTATGGCCGTTTGAAAATGAATGTCGCTGTCAGGCCAATCCCAGTGCGCGGGCGCGCAGGCAAATATCGCGGGCGCGCACGAGCAGCTACGGGTCTTTTAAATGCTTCTTCCTCTCCTCTTTTTGGCCAAGTTTTGGATGGTGGGTTTCTTTGTGGGTTTTCTCTCTCCTCTTTGAGGGGTTAAACCCTAACATCTCTCCATCAATCTTCACATAAATTAGGCTTAGATTTAGTTTTAATCTTTGTTTTTATACTTTGCAATGTAGATTAAGAGTAATTTAGGGTATTTTAGAGAGAGAAAGTGAAGAGCTTCAATGGTGGATTGAAGAAGATGAAGATGAAGATGCAAAGTGACATTGTTTTGGATTCCTTTTCAATACTTCAATGAGCATTCTAAACTCTATCTCATTTATTGTTCTTTCTTAATTTCTTGCTTGATTAGAGTAGTTGTTTAGTTTAATTGCTTCTCTTTGTTCTTCTTGTTGGGTTTTGTGTTAGTTGTTCATGATTAGTGAGTAATTCCCTTTACTAAGGGATTGGTGATAGCATGTGGTGAATCTTGAATGTATTAGGCTAGACAAATGTTGGTTATATGTGATTAAATATACCTTGTAACCATGTTTTACTAATTACTCCATGTGAATGGCCAATCATGTGTTGTAATTGGGTGGATTGAACTAAGTTATGACGATAGTGTAACTTAGGGATATCCATTAGGTGATCGATTCTATGCAAAAACCTTAACTTTCACAGCTTATGACGATAGTATGAGCATGTGTTAAGTTGGGAAAGCCTTTGACCCCGATAGGTGGTTAGATGGTATTGTTGGTATTGCCTTATATGAGATATTTGGTTTGCATGTAAACTCATTTCCATTGCCTAACTTTATTGAAGATCATTGTCATGTTTGACCCTCTCCCTTGGTGTTAGTTTAACTTAATATAAATCTCATTTTTGTTTATTGTTCTATCCATCCTATCTCTTTGACCTAGCTTAATTGGTGGTGGTGTTGATAGTGTTTATGTCGTCTCCGTGGTTCGACCCTCTACTTACCACTAAACTTGTTTAGTGTAGGTGTAGGTTTATAAATATTGTTTGGTTGAGGGTAGTTAGTCCAACGACCTAATTATCCTTCACCAATTACACGCTATGGGGTCTAAAGAAGGCACACCAGACTCCAATTGGTACAACCCCCTGTCGCTTGGTCTATGGGAAGGCTTGTCACTTTTTGGTGGAATTAGAACATAAAGCTTGGTGGGCTATCAAGGAGCTTAACATGGATATGTCATTGGCCGGTGAGAAGAGATTGCTCAAGCTCAATGAACTTCATGATCTTAGATATGACGCCTATGAGAGCTCAAGGCTATATACGGAGAAAACCAAGAAGGGACATGACCAACATATCAGGAACAAGAGTTTTAAGGTTGGAGATAAGGTGTTGTTATTCAATTCAAGGCTTCATTATTTTCTCGAAAAGCTCAAGTCCAAATGGTTGGGGCGTTTTGTGATTTAAAATAATACACCATATGGTTCTTTTGAGTTTGAGGTGGGCAATCATAAGTTCATGGTTAATGGTCATCCATTGAAGCACTATTTTTGAAGATGTTGGTTTGATCGAATGTTTTAGGCTTGATCCTTTGGATCCTAAGCCTCACCATTAATGATGCTTCCTCATGGTCAAGCTAATCACCTCATAAAGAAGCATTTCTAGGAAGCAACACGTGTTTCTTTTGCTTTGAATTTTATGTTTTGTTGATTTGGATTAATTTGGACTTTGATTTTATTAAATTTTATCACTAGTGGAAAAAATCTCATTCGTAACAGGCTATTTGTAACGGGCAAAGCTTTGTCCATTACAATTATGATATTTGTAACAGGCAAAATAGTGTCCGTTACAAATAATTATTTTTTTGTAGTGGGAAAAATAATGTCCATTACGAATGTGTATGTATTTGTAACAGACAAATTAGTACCCGTTACGTATACTTCGTATTCACCTCTTTCTCTCTCATCAGTCCCTCACTCCTTCTCTCTCTCTCCTCTCCTTTCCTCCCCGTCATTCACCTCTTTCTCTCATTTCAAACTCAGGCCCTCTCTCCTCTCCTCCATTAATCTTCCCCTTAACAACAAGTGAAGATCTCTAAACCTAACCAATGAAGAACAATTGTTAGATAATTTGGGATATATTTGCCGAAAATTTCAACCATTTTAGATCGTGAGGTAAGAAGTCCTTGAATTGTTTTTTCCTCTTCTTGAATTGATTTCTAGATATCTAATTGTTTAAATTCTTGAATTTGTTCTTGTGAATTCTAATTTGCTTTATTTTTTCTACATGCAATTTGTATTTGATTCATTTTAGGCATTTATATGGTTCGATTATCCTTTGCATGTCTAAACGAATAATAAATCTTAAAAATATATTTTTTAATTGAAACGAGTAATACATGCAATTAGTTTTGAATTTATTTCATCTTTGTCGATTAATACCTAATTGGCGAATTTTTTTGTAATTTTTTTTGTTTATTGAGAGAAGTAGGAAACCTAATATGGAATGTTGATTAATTCTAGGGTTCTTCGAGTTCTTTACCAAAATCAATCAATTTATCCCCAATTTGTTCATTTTTAGTGGTAATTTATGGGTTCTTGGTATATAATTTCTGTTAATCCGTTTGTTAAAGTGAGAATTTGGGTATTGTTTATTGATTTTCTATGAAAGGTTATTTCTTTTTGCATTATTTGGTGTTTTAATCTGATAACTAGTGTTTCTTTAAGGCTAATTAGTGTAGAATTAAAATTTTGTTATCAATTGTTTAGTTTGGGGATTTACGATTTTTGATTTGTGATTAAAATTTATACAGGTTTATTCTGAAGTGACGTCTATTATAGAATTATGTAGAGCTCAGTTAAAAGTTGCTCAGCTTACTAGCACCATGTCAACTATTGAGATGGTTAATCGTCATTTATAAGCTATTTTTTTAAGTTGTTTGTTTCTCCTGTAATTTGAGCATGTTATTAATGATTGATGTTGTTTGTTTGTAAATACTATAAGAAGCAAGCGCTGTCCGGCCCTGCAGATATTCTGGTGTCAACCCCTGCTTTTGTGCAACTTGTTTGAAAGCTGGTCTCTTCACCTGAAAGCCATTCAAGAATCGCTTTCTATGTTGGTTAATCTTGATTTTAGTATCTCTTTGTTGTTGATACTTGTTGTTTCTCTTTTTTTTTTGAGCTGGGCAAGCTGGGGAGCGCTAATGTATTAGTTTTAGGCTAGCAGTTATCTTTGGCACTGATTATTTATATGGTTTGATTATTCTTTGTATGTCTAAACGAATAATAAAGTCTCAATGTGATTCAAAAATTGTCCCAAAATTTGAGTAGTGGAATTCTGCAATGCCACCATTGTATGTTTGCTGGTGTTAAGATGAGTAGTGGCAAAGCTCACTATAAAATTCAATAGTGTACGAATAAGTTTGAATTTTGTAAGGCTTTTGAAATGTCAAGGATGAAACTTTCGTGAGTTGTCCTATGAAGTTGTAATTCTATATGATGATCTGGGATCTATGACTCTTGCTTAATGGACTTAGATATTTAAGTAGAGTCGCCACATCAAATGAATTGTGTAATACTCACAATTGCTGGAGAATCTCTATAGTGTTTTATGTGGGATTCTTATCTCCTTTTTCTATGATTTTGTCGTCGTGATATTGATTGAGTTCATACATCTAATTATTTCTCCAAAACTTCTTGGTGTACATGTCTTCTTCTGAACCGTGCCTTGACTTTGAAATGATTTTTTTCCAATGGAAATATTATCCCTATGATTTCCTCTATTTTCCCCTGGTTTCATAGTATATTAGTGTCTTCTTATTCTTTTTCAACTTATATGATGATTTTTAGGAAAAATGTTCAGAAATGACTTCATGATCATTTATTTATTTTCTACATATAAATGTATAATTTAACTCTTGGAATCAACTCTATGTATTCACTACTTGCAATTATGCAGAGTTTGACCTGCATACAACAGCTTCAAGAACTTTCTACAGTCTGTTGCCAATTATATAGGTTTGACCTACATACAACAGCTTCAAGAACTGTCTACAACTGTTCCAAATATTTATGCTTTATGACACATGTTTAGGATTTTCCAGGGGTGTGTTGTTGAGGTTTTTGGACCAGAGGCATCTGGGAAGACTACTTTAGCCCTTCATGTAATTGCTGAAGCTAAGAAGCAAGGAGGTATGTAGTAATCTTTAAGGGGCATCCATGGAAAATGGAGTGAACAAATTGGGACAGATGAAATATATATTTGGTGAACTGGTCACATATGTGTTTGTTTGCTGATAGTAGTCCTTCCTTTCAACCCTCCCCATACAACTCTTATTTGTGTGGAACTCTTTTTTTTAAAATTATATTTTCAATTATTGGACATCATATATAAATGTAGGAGTTCTTTGATGACATGCCTGCATAAATTTTTCCACTCTTAGCTTTCTTTTTGTTGTTAGAACTTAAAAGTCTATGCGGTAATAGTTTGTATATAGGATAGCTCCCGCTAAAATATTGCCCAGCTCCTCGAGGTGCGCACTCATTGCCGAGAGACCAACTATGAAGGGATCACCAGCCCGAAGGAGTCAGCTCGCAAAGCTGACCATGCTGAACTCTCCTTGAAGGAGATCGTACACATATAAATAGAGGGCAAAGTACAACGGAAAGGAAGTAAGACACACAAGTTATTACACTCTCTACATCACTCTAAGTACACTTTCTCTCTCTAAACACTCTATAACGTAAGCATCAGAGGGGGTTCCTCGAGCCACCCCCGAGGGCAGTTTACGTATGTTGCCTTGTGTAGGTTGTCGACGGGACCCAGCCCACCAAGCAGAACCCTTGGATCCACACCTGGAACAATTGGCGCTAAAAGGAGGGGAAGGATCATCTGACCTGAGGTTCACGAATTGAGTTAGGGTATAGTTGACAAACCACCATGGTCGGGGAGGAAGCTATACAAACACCCGTAGTTAAAGCCAATTACACCAACCAAACACCACAAAAAAGACCACCAGCAACTGTCGATCCCAAAGGATTTGTCGAAAAACCCAAACACGCCATCTCACAAAAATCCTATCCCAATTAATCGACGTCAGTTGCAGCTAAAGCAGCGTCGAAACCAGTCGATCCGATAAGATCTAGTTCCATTTTCAAATATGTATGTCGTTGACAGGCGCGAACAATGAACCCATTGTTTCACCACCCATAACCCAAAAACTACAGCACGTAAACATGCCAACCATCCTGCAGAACCTCTCTAAGTGCAGTAAAGAGCAGTTGGCAGTGATGACATCAGTCCTTGCCAACTTTGGTAAAGGAGCGAGCTCGTCACCAGCAGTAGAAGCTGCAGAACCGACGGTAAAGAATTCAACACCCACGACCCTCACCCCCGAGTAGAAAAAGCTCGTCCAGCTAAGGAAGAAAGTACTGGAGTTGGAAGCTCGCAATCTGAACCGAGAATGGACCGTGGAGGAAATAGCTCAGGCTAGGGTCATCCCGGAGAGGCGAGTCCCCCGCAGCAGGTCAACAACCTCTAAGTAGGGACCCAGCCCGGATAGGGAGAAGCAAGCACGAATCCAGGTTATTCCATATGATTCCCCATTTTGTTGAGAGATTCTAGAGGAATTGATGGAGAAGATAAATATGCCGAGCTGAAGGTACAACGGAACCATAATGCCTAAGAGCCTTATATCAGCTTTTGAGAATCACATGGTGCTCTACACCGTGACAGATTCAGTTTGGTGCAAAGTATTCCCACCAACCCTGGAGGGGTTGGCTGCGGAGTGGCCTGGAGACATTCCAAAAGGTTCTGTATACTCATATAATAAGATGAAAAGGATGTTCATGGAGCATTTTATAACCTTGGTAGATCGAACTAAGATGACAACTGAGCTGATGTAACTAGTTCAGGGGAAGGTTGAGCCCCTGAAGGAGTTTATCACCAGATATAACAAGGAGGCAACAACCATCCCGAATATGAGCAAGGAGGTAGCGCTGTTGACAATGCAGAGTGGTTTAGTACTAGGATCATCATTCATAGCGTATATGGGGCGTAAGAGCCTCGGAACGCTAGCTGAAGCGCAAGGTTAAGCGCATGAGTTCATCAAGGCAAATGAAATTGACATAGCAATGCTGAGCAGGAAGGCGCCAGGCGACCTAGTTAAGCGAGTAGAGGTCACTCGGGCAGAAAACACAACTAGGGCTGACCAGCCGAGCATAGATTAACAAAGCCGCAGAAAGGCAGATAGAGCTGTTGGGGTGAGAAGGTCAGATCCGAAGAGAGGAGGAAGACCTGGATTGAACGCTCTGAGCAACAAAGGATACATCCGAGAATGTTGAATTCACCAAACCATGGAAGCGAGTTTTTTAAACTCGCGGTGTCCCTTCCACTCGCACCAACCCTTTACGGTTAGGCTTCCACGCGGTGAGTCTGGACAATTAACCATGGACCCTCTATTGACTAACCCATATCCCGAACTTTAGAGAACTAGAGCCATGGTTAGGTTGCAAACTCATTGCATCATGTTGTGCCTACTTGACTAATTGTGCATTATTGGTTGTGCATCCTCTATGTGTTTTTTCTAACCGTTTGCTTGACTTGTGTGAAGATTAAATAAACTGATTTATGACTAAAAGAACTTTGTCTAATTAATTAATTCGAGTAATTAAAGTCTAATAATTTAATCAAAGTTGACTTACTACGACTTTAGGCATACCCTGTAGAGTAATATTACCGAAAGCAGTTCCAGATCGACGTTCCAACAATGGCGCCAATATTTAAACTGCATCACCACTTTGTGGAGCGTAGCGCCTAGCGACAGTCCTATTGTCTGGCGCTACACTGCAAAGAGAGGCTGCAATCCTGTCATTTTGGCGACAGTTCGGTTTGTTGCTCGAGTCATCACCTTATGTCTAATTGAACAGTTTTCTAGTCGATTCAGTTAATTTTTACCTTGTCAAGTCATTAATTGAGTCTAAGCACTAAGTCCCGTGGTCTTACACAAGAGTTAAAGCATGTCACTTACACTCACCATATAAAGCACACACTAATGTACACTTCTAAGGGAGTATTGTATGCGCGTAGTCATTTTTTTAGGGGGGTTAGTCGGATATTAATCCTCCAATTAAACCACTTGTTTGAACCCTATAACTCCCAAAAATATATACCTTTTTTTTGCCAAAAATATACACCCTGTTTTTCTTTTTTTTTCTTTTTCAAAACCGTGAAGTCAAAGTCAATTTGAGTCAAGTCATTAAAACAAAAATGGTTTAATTTCCAACGCTTGGTCAAGAAAGGGAGGACGTTTGATCAAAGACAACCTTTTTATTCAAGTCCAACTTTTTGACAAACCGATTGCTCGTAAAAGGAAAGCTAATACAGTAATGGCAACTCAATAAGAAGTTAATGAGCTCAGGAACCAATTGATAACCGTGACTGAGGCTTTAAAGGTTTTAACCCTCAAAATCGATGATCTAGTAAAAAAAAAAACAGATGGACCTCATGCAAGAGAGTCTGAGCAAAGTGTCTAGTGACTATAAGTTTCAAGGAATTAGCTCACAAGGGGTCTCGGTGGACAAGGATTTTATTCCGTAGAAGTTCAATGCCAACGACATCCTGAAATTCAAAGCGACTGAATACCCTTATTTTCTTTTAAGAGCCTTCGACAATAATGAGTATTAAGGGTATTGACAAGAAGGTGTTTCCCTCTTTGTTCTCCCTATCTCTCGAAACCGTTTACCAACAATGGTTCTTTTCTCTTGAGAAAGAAAGAACCTCTACTTGGGAGTCTATAGTAAACGCTTTCATTGATAGATACAAGTGCAACATTCAAAGTTGAGACTGACGATAGGTAACTTGAAATCCTCAAGAAGAAGGAGAATGAAGGTTTTACCTCTTTCTTCAACAAATGGAGAGAAACCTCTACTAAGATGATTGAGGTACCAAGCGAAAAAGAATATGTGAGGTTATTAATCAAGAACCTTCAAAAGAATTACTCCAAGCATCTCAAATACCAGAATAATCTCCATACCTTCAAGGTCGTCTATGACATTGGAATCAATATTGAAGACGACTTGGCTAAGCTAAAAGCTGCTAACAGTAACTCGAACAGTGGCTGGAAAGGCAAGAAGAACGAAAATCCTTCTTCTTCCAAAACCACCCACTCAAACAATTTTAGTACCTTTAACTTAAGTGAAGTCCTTGCTATGAATAATCAAGGACAAAAGAAACCATTTAGGAGGAATTTTACTCCTATAGGTATGATTTATGACACCGCATTTGACCGATTCAATGCAAAAGGTCTTATAACTCCTATTGGATCATTTGGGGACCCACCGGTTGAGAAGTGGACTGCGAATTGGAACCCCAATGCACATTGCAAGTATCACCAAGGTAGGGGCCATCTTACAAAAAATTGTTGGAAGCTTAAGGAAGCTATCCAAGATTTAATCGACAACAACAAACTGCCATTGCCTTTGGCCTGTAAGATACCGAGCGTTGATAATGCACCTCTCGCTCACTCATCTCTCATCAAGCTTATCGAGGAAATCCCTCATCTCTCATCAAGCCTATCGAGGAAATCCATGCTATTGAAAAAGAGGAGGAAATCTTTTTCGATGCCATGGATGAATTTCCAGAATTAGCAAGTAAAGAGGATGTACGGTTGCTTACATTATCAATGTTAGAGGGATCAAAATTGTTATGTAAAGCTCTTGAAGTCGCGAAGAAACAATTAGAGGAGATTCAGAAAAAGTGTGACAAGGTTCCACCCACGATAAATAAACCCAGGAGAGAGTTCACACCCATGGGAATGACGTATGATGCTACTTGTGATCGTCTCTATGATCAAGGATTAATCAAACCTATTGGCCCTACCAAGGATCCAACACCAGAAAAGCGATCTTCAAGATGGGATCCCGATTCCTATTGCAAGTACCATCAAGGGAACAGTCATACCACGAATGAATGCTACAGGTTTCAAAACCTCATTCAAGATCTCATGGAAGCAAACAAGATCCCATTGCCTCTAGCTAGCGAGAAAACGAAGAAACCCTTTTCTCTGCAAGTAATTGTTAAACTCAAGAAGAGTAATAGACTCTATACTCCAATTGGGATTCCATATGCTCAAACGTTCAATTTACTCTCCGAGAGTGGCGAGGTCAAACCTCTCGAATCGAGACCATTTGAA